TGGCGGCGCCGGCCGCGGCCGCGGCTTGCAGAGCGGCCTTTTTCTTGGCGGCGCGTCCGCGGGCCGACTTGGTGTACTTGTTGCTGTTGTCCATGGAGACGGCGCGGCGGCGAGGGGCTTTGCCGCCCTTGCCTCCATCTGGGTTGATCATCCACCAGGAACTCTTGCCCGTGCCTTCGTTCTGGACGCGGATGAAGCGGCTGTGCAGTGAAAGGTTGTGCCGGATGGAGTTCTGCAACACAAAAGGCCAACTCGGCGTTACTTCATCAATGATGTGTTGAGTGGATGAAGATTTTTTTTCATGCGTTCCATGAATATTTGCGGTCCCCTCCATAAGTCTTGGAACGGCAAGGTCCATTCCTTTGTTTTTGTTCTTTGCCAAAGATATCGGCGTTTCAGATCCGAAAGATGAATACGAGACAAAAGGTCAGAAATGCAGCTTTTATTTCATGGTATTTACATCGAGATGCGTTCAGGGCACAGTGCACCTTTTATTTGAAGCCACCGACTTTTAAAGTGAGCAAAAGTATTGGAACAGACGGTGATTAAGTTAACTCATTCACTCCCAAAGACGTTTTTAAACGTCTTTTCAGACTTGGTCTAGAATTGGCTGGTACTGAATGCGTTTTAAAGAGAATAACATTGAATGTTTGGTGCACAACCCGTACTTGCGCTGAGTGCGTTAAGCCTGCGCGCCGTTGACGGTTGACTTCTTTATATGAAATGATCTTCCAGGCCTTTACTGCAGCCCCTTTCAGTTCTTGTTTGTTTTGGGGTAGGGGGGGGCTGTCTCTTCAGTCTCCTCTTAAGGAGGTGAAACGCATGCTCTGTCGTATTCAGGTCTGGTGATTGACTTGGCCAATCTAAGATGTTCCACTCCCCCCCCCCGCCCACCCTTGTTGCATCGGCAGTGCGTTTTGGCTTATTGACTTGTTGCATAATGAAGATTCTCCCAATTAGTTTGGATGAACAAAAAGCGCAGCGGTTTGAGCTGATGTCTACGTTGTACAGTATGTCCCCGCGGTCTTTGTGTCGAGAGAGACAAGAGGGACAGTGAGCCATCATCGAGCTTCTGCCGAAGAATGAACAAAGGGCTCCTTTGTTGCGCAAGGGGAAGATTCAGTAACAGATCATGTGTGCTCGCGCGTGCCACTGCCGATCGATAAAAGTCTTTTCCCATGGACTACCCGGCAGCTTACTGGGAGATTGGGAGCACATGACCGCCCATGTTGCCGCGCATGAGCCGTATTGTTTTTGCTTCGATTGTTCCAACGTAAACACCGCGGCCTGACGGACGCGACTTCAGTTCAATCACGCTTCCCCGGGGGGGGGCGTGGAGAGACGCGGAGGCTCGGACATGGGCGCCGAGTGCTCATGACTTTCCAAAATTCGTCACGATTCGACGAATCTCTTGTGAGACTCGCATCACCGTCACACAAACAATCAAATTGAAGCCATTTTCCCATTTTGTACAACGGGCCACAAACATAGTCCAGAATTTTGAGTCGGATGCATCTTTTGAGGAGAATTTTTTTTTTTTTTTGAATGACACGGCGATGGGTGACAATGTCATCAAATCGCACCGGCGCACCTCCTTTTTTTGTGCGCACTGAAATTGAAGCCGGAGAAAAGCCAAAGTGCATTCCTTGACAACGATCCTCTGCGGAATGTGACACATGGCTTCTTTCTTGTCTTCCTGTGCCATGAGCTACCGAAGCACTTTGGGGAAATTCATTCTCATCCCCCCCCTTCCCCCCCTCATATATATTTTTTTCTCTCCTTTTCCGTCCCACCTCCTCATTCCCTCGCAAACTCTTACAGGACTTGTGGGACCGTAAGCAATGTTAATTCCTCCCATTTGGAAGCAAGCCTTCCAAATCACGGCGCCGTGTTTTCCTGCGCCGATGTATACGTTTTAACGCCGTGACGCTAGTGATCGCGTTCTCGGGTTCAAGCGGGCAAAAAGTCAAAATCACGACCGTGTTTTTTGAATTTCCCGTCTTTCCTGGGTTTGGTTTGGATTGGCAGTACGCTCGCAAAGGGAAAAGGAGTGGGCTTAAATTAGCCCCGTTTTTAATGTCGGGTGTGAGCAGAGTCTTTTTTTTCTTTTTTTTTTTTCCTCTCTGTGGTTTTCTATTTGAATATTGCATGCATACGTGCATAGTTGTGCCTTTAAGGCGGTCAAGCGGAAAGTATTGTCCGCTGCGTTTTTGAGACTATAAGTTTTGACTGGAGTAATGTGCGCTCTTTCTGACGCAATCCCATCAAAGAATTGCAGTCGATGATGACCGCTGGATGTTAATGTTTATGAGGGTTGTGCGCGTGTGTGTGCGTGTGTTTCCTTACAACGAGGTAAAATGAAATTCCAGGGAGACCATCGGTTATCCTCTGGCACCGTCTCTCGAGGCCTGACATAATGTTGTCCGATTATCCAACATTTTAACACACGTGCACGCGCACACACGCTCAATACACTTAGGCTGTACAGACTTCCTTCTTGTAAAGTCGCGCAGGGGAGGGGCAGCGACTTGAGAAATGTAACCCAAAAAAATTTGTACGTCACTCATCTGGGCTATTTCCCCAAAGGCCATTAAGAAAAAGAGCTCAGTGAGACAGCAGCTCCGATTCATGCCGACAACAGCATCCACTGCTCGATGACACAACTCTATAAACTTGACAGACAACATTTCGGATCCACCCGCCGGGTACAAATCCAAATAAAATAAAGACCTTCTCTGCCTGCTGTAAACAAAGTCAAGATCAAAAGTATGTGGTGGGCCTTCTGGGTTGTTTTTTTTTTTTTAAATGCCTTAAGTTACACAATGCGTGTGTTTGACCCAACTAGCATGCAGTACGGCGCTAGCATGCGGTACGGCGTGTGTTGACATTAGCCTCAGATTAGTTTCCCGAGTTTACATAACGCATGATAAGCGTGCTTTGCGTCAGCTGTTCCAAGTGCAACAAGACAATCGGGTCACCTGCTCGGTCAAAAGTGAGATATTGTGGCTTTGGATGTCAAGTCTCGACAATAAAAAAGTAGCAGGGAAAAAAAAAAGGAATTAACTCAAATCCTGCATTCAAATAAGAAATTAAAGTAAGGAAGAATGCCCATGCAATGCAAATATTAGCGCAACATGGGGGCGTGTCCAGGCAGGTCCACCAGTTTTGTAGCCTACGAAAAGAGGTGATCCAGTCGGTCGCCGTGGCAATGCAAAAGATGCCGTCCTTATTACACGGCAATGCCCAAAAGTGTTCCTCTCGGGATAAATTGTGACCTATTTCCGCGTTAACTAATAAAACCGTTTGCCATTTTAATCGCATTATTAATAAACGGATGGGATAAAAGTGTCTAAAATGACATTCTCAAAGTCAAATCCTGGAGTCAGTGCTATGTTAGCGTACAGGCTAGTGCTCACACAACATGAGGTGTCCGGTGTGATTACAGGTGACAAAACTAGGCAGTCCATCGTGTTGCCATGGTAATGTGAAATATGTGAATCGCAATCTTTTTCCAGCAGTTACTTTGCAGGCCAAATTGTTGCATATTAATGCCTTGAAACCAGGGGACCAAAAACAGACAGATCCTCAAATCCTGGAGCATAAATCAGAAAAGAAAGTAGAGTGCCTGGTTGCACTTGAACCTCTTGAGACGTGCCACACTAAAACCAGAGAAGAAGAAAGTCCCCCCCCCCCCCACCCAACACACCCCCCCTCTACC